CCCCCAAAGTTTTGAGGTTGCTCATGCAAGAAGACACTAGTTCATCGTTTTAGTTTTTTCGCCTTGTTTTGCGTATAAAGTCATTTGGTTCATGAAAATAATTTTGGGATTAGTTATATTGCAATTTTGATATTAATCATACAGTTTTGGCATGTTTGTCTAATCAAGTAATTACTTGGTCAGCATGTAATTGGATGTAATTGAGGGTGTGTAATTACACTATGCAATTCTCAAGGGGGGATTGAGAATTGCTGGTGGTGTAATTACAAGGTTATTTTTTGAATCTCTTTTCTTTTCTTTTAAATTTACTTTTTATTTCTATTTTTTTTTCTTTTTAATTTATTTTTTATTTTAACTTTTTAAATTCTTTTTTTCAAATATTATTCTTTTTACATTATTTATCTTTTATTTCCGTATTGTTCATTTACCAACCTTTACTTCATGTGTTTCTACATAATTTATCATATTTTATTTCTTTTTAATTATTTTTTTTATTTTTTTATTATACTTAGCTATGTTATTATTCTAATTTGCTAAAACATTATACCTCGTAATCTTAGAAAAAATGAGTCATCCACAAACTTGACTTATAATGAATAATGTCACTAAAGTTGAACTTTGTTATTGGATGAGATTATATGCAAACTTAACTAAGTTAAGATGATAGATTAGCTTTTAACATTTAAATAATATTCTCATTTTCCAACTTTTATTTTTTGTCATTCCATGTAGTTGCTCATATTTTTTATTTCTTTATTTTCTTCATTTAGCATAATTATGCTATTATTCTAGTTTTGAAACTACACCTTATAATATTAGAAATACTAAGTCATTAATAAACTTGGCTAATAATGAGTGATATCATTAAAGTAGAATCTCATTATTGAATGAAGTTACAGAACTTATGTCTTCCTTTTCTTTTGAATTATATTTACTTAAATTATGTTGAAACTTATTTATGTTATGTTGTAATTTTACATAAGAGTATTATGTTAATTTTTTTGGATTTTGAATTTATGTTATATTTTTGATTCTATTTTATTTGCTTTAGTAGTATTAACTTATTAATTCAAATTGCATATCATTCATTTTTTCCGTTAGAATTGATAGATTATTTTTTCTTAAAACATTTGTGTAATGTTATGACGTTATATTTGTAAATATTAATCTTTTTATCAAGCCCGTGGTCCAGGATATTCTTACAAAATATGTACTTTTAGTTTTTAAATTAATTAAAGTTAAATATTATTAATTTAAAAATTATATGTCAATTATTTTTATAGTAATAGTTACAAATATATGATTAGTAATTAATATATTTTCAAGAAACTATATGTATCTTAAATGTTAAATTTAATATCATTTATAACGGCATATATTTGTCAAGACTCTCCAAGTCGAACAATAAAGAGACTAGATATACTGGGACTAGGACTGGGACTGGAACGCCAGCCAACACCCAAAACTTGTAACTTTCTCCAAAAATTGCCCAAGGGCAAAATAATGCAATCAGAGCAACGACGTCAAAGTAAGAGAAATTCACATTTATAACTACTCTAATGAACGGTTAAGTTCGACCAAGCTCGAACAACACCTATCGGCCCTCGGCCACGACCTAATGAACAGTTAAGTTCGACCAAGCTCGAACAACACCTATCGGCCCTCGGCCACGACTCAGTGAACGGTTAAGTTCGACCAAACTCGAACAACACCTATCGGCCCCTGGTCTCGACTTAACTTAAAAGAACGTTCGACTAGCTCGATCAACACCTATCAGCATCCGGCCTCAACTTAACTTAAATGTGTGTTCGACCAAATCGAAAAACACCTATCGATCTCTGGCCACATCTCAACTAAGAGACATACTCGACTTGTTTAAACAAAGAGCCGATGCGGCCCACGGCTATTCGGCCCAACAGCTACGGCCATCTAGAGGATAAAAGCAAAGGGAATAAAGAAGCAAAATACGCAAGTACAAAAGTAAAACATGCAAGCACAGAAACAAAATGCAGGAATGAAAAAGGTGCGTATAAAACAGAAGACAACTTTGATATTCAGACGAAGAGTTCTTACAAAAAGCGCTTGAAGACGCCAACAAAAAAAATACAAGAAGTTAAAACTAAAACTAGTGGCCATCACCATCCCGGCCTTCGACGCCCTCTTCATCCTCGCCTTGGCCGTAAGCGGAGTCAAACCAAGCACCGTCCGCAAGCCGGTCTACACCCTCATCCTTATCCTCATCCTCCTCGGAACCAGATTGAGGCGTAGCAGGATCATAATCACAAGCGAGCCGAACCTCACGAGCTTTGACTCGAGCATCCTCGAAGGCCGCCTCAAAAATAGAGCCCGTCGTATTCAAATTACGGAGCACATCCAGCCGGGCCTCAGCGTGGATCCACTCCTCGTACAGCTTCCGAGGAATGTTAGGATACTCAGAAGCATTAGACGAAGAGGATCGCGCAAGCAGCTAGGCTTTCTCGGCCTCAAGAGCAGCAACTCGATCATGCAGCTCAGAGTTTTCCTTGTCCAGTTCCCCAATCCTCTCCTCAAGCCGTTCCTCTTTAGCTCTAGCCATTGACAGAACATTATCCCGCTCAGAGCAGAGAGTCCTATTCGCCAGCTCGAGGATGTCAACCTTTCTCCGAGCATCCAGTCGGGAAGACTCCGCCTGCTCGAGCAACTGTTGCTTCTCAGCGACCTCCCCCCTAAGAGTGTCGATTTCGAGCTGGCACCTGTCCAACTGGCTTCGCAGTTGAACCAGCTGAATTTGAAGATCGCTGCATTGGGCCTACATGCCCTTACTTAGCTCGAGTTCTTCTTCTTTTCTCTTCAACGCTCCCTTAAGAACGCTGAACCTCTCCACTGCCACCATGAGCTCTTCGTCCTTTTTCTTCAGTTCTTCTCTCAAGGCCGGCACGTCACCCTCTTCGCGAAGTCGCCTCCGAAGGTCCCAGTACTCTCTACGCTACTCTTCGTACTTACCCTTCAACTTCACTTAAATTTCTTTACGTCTCTTCTCCCTCCGAGCACTTTCAATTTGCAGAATGACCGTCTACAAATCAAAGAAAAGGCGAAAGTTAGAACTTATAAATAAGTTAAGGCAAAAGAAAAAGAACAGACAACAGCCATACTTACCCTGAGAGCGAGACCGGCAATGTTCTTTGACAAGGTACCGTCAGTTATCTCCTTTAGGGTCACACCCTCGGGGTCAGAGCAGAGAGAACCGAGAGCGGGGAGCACCTCCTCAGTATTTCACAGTAAATCACGATCCATTGGGATCGTGATGGTCCTAGAACCTCCCTCCATCCTCATCTCAATTTGAGTGAGCCTCTCATTGATCATCCTATGATCGTCAGGGTCCATGTCGGAACCTGACTCATCGCCCTCATCGATGACGTCATTTCCCCTGTCCTCGACTGACGGAGAAGCATCCGCTACCGGCCTAAGATGAAGCCTCCTCCTACCTCGCCAACATGGAGACATCATCAAGTGTCCTCTCGACGACCATCTCCCACTCGGGACACACCAGCACGCCTGCATTCGCCTCTTCCAGTTGTGGGGCCTCAGAGGTCAACCCAACATCGTCACAGATGTGTATCTTCGCCGTCTCTCGAAGAGTAAAGTCATCCTCCACCAAATCGACGGCCACGAGGACTCCCCCCCCCCCCCCCCCCCCNAGAATTAAAATTTGTTGCAATATTATAATTCGAATAACTAAACACGTTTATTGCAATTAAAATGCCCTAAGCTTTGAGGTTGCTCTTGGCAATGACCAATCACAAATTTCATTGGACGCATTCCCATCGCAGCAGTTGCACTAGTCCAGCATAACATCATGGGAAGGTCTAAATTTTCATTCAACAAAGAAGTAAAGAAGAATTACATTTGTCCATTAATGGGCTGCAAATGGAAAAGTTATGTTTTTACTTTTTCTTTTTTTGGAGAGATATAGAGGGGACGTATTACAGTTTTCCAATCAAAGTTTACCGCAAATAAAGAAAAATTGTGCTGAGTATTTATCTATTTTGCTTTGTTTCCTCGTAATGATGAGGACAGGATTTCATATCCTGAATTTGTTGAAACAAAATGACAAAAGGGACAACTTACATTGTATTTAAAGCAAAATCTCTGCCAACCATCCGACCCCAACACAACCTAAAATTAGAACCTCCACCGCACCCTTGATGAAAGGTAAATGAACACATAATTCCTCAGAAAAGTGACTGCAGATCAACTATGAGCGCACCAATTATAATACACAGCTGGAAAGTAACTCTGTTCAATGCTTCTGGACATTATGCTTGCATCACTTGAGAACAATTTTTCCAGATCCACTTGCCTTGTCACGCTGGAGAGCTCTAGGGTCCAGTGGAATTGTTCCAATTGATATAAAACCAGAAGATTCAGCAAATCCATTAACTTTTACTGGCATAGACCCCACAGTGACAACATCAACGGACTCCGCACTTGCCAGAGTGATAGCAGTAGTGCATTTAGCTTCTGGGGGATGAGATTTCAAGTCCTTTGGATTGATTGCTAAGGAAGCAATCCTCAACGCACTCTTAGTATTGGGATCTCCATCTACCACGAATTTGTCACCATCACTTGCATTCCCCCTGTTGGTTTTGGAATCTTTCAAATCCAGGTCTGCAGGAACCGCACAAATTTCAGATTGCACGGAATCATTGTGCTTAGATATTGTCTCACCTTCACCGGAAGGGAAATCAAAAATAGAATTTAGCTTGCGTGGAGGATCTAATACAGGCACAAGAAATGGATTTTTATAGCTCATTAGCAACTTGGCTTTCTCTTCCTGCAGGATCTTCTGTCTAGTTTCATAATACATGAAGTCATCTAGTAAAGATGTCCTTGATGCATAATTCTTGAATACTTTCAGCATCTCAATGCCTTTCTTGTAGTGTATCTGCACGTTAACAAATAACGTCAGACTTTCTGTTTTATCTGGAACATCAATGACCTTCCTCGAGTTCACATAAAATGTCATTATAAACTTCTCCTAGACCCAAAAAAAGAAATATACGACATAGACCCAAAACAGATAAACAACTGCAATATGATCAAAAGCAGTGACCCAAAAAGCGAAAAGTGCAAGAACAACACAATCACAGGGTTTGAAGCGAAAAGCGAAAAGTGAAGCAACATGCTTCCTTGAAGTGAAGCGCACAATTTATGGAAAAATAGAAACATATAAAAACAAATATGAATTTAGTACTATAACAATCAAATTATAACTAGACTGACTTATTTCACTATCCAATATAGGACAATGTATCAGCTCCTCAAAGTTGAAATTTAAAGAAAAAATTCAGTTTTAGTTTGGATCACTTTATGCGTCATTGTTTGGAGCGCACACTTCAATGAAGAACAACACTTCCTTGCTTTGCATCGCTTTAAGCGATGAAGCGAGGGCTTTTAATAACACTGATAAAAAAAGGTACCATGAGCGTAAATCCCCTTGAGTTCATTGCCAACGGAGAGCATAGTTGAGTGTGTCTAGTTGAGTGTGTCTACTAATTTCCAGATTCGAAGATATGGAGCTAGATGACAATAAACTAGACTCGATGCAATAGATGGCTAAAGGGATAGGGTTTTATCAGCTTAATCAAGCTATGAGTGGTTGTTGAAGGCAGCACTAGGAGAGTACCCTCAGTGGCCATGGAAGCTTTAGCACATTAAATGATGCACCAACAAAAGTGGCTGGATTAGGATAGATAACACTCCATGAGGCTTCCTGTACACATGATAATCTTTCAAATAAGGCAAGGAATTATGCAGTATATGCTACTTTTGTGGAAAACAGTGATTAGTCAAACACCTATTAACATCGCAGATTCATCTGGCAAATTCAATGTGTGTTTCTCAGAATGTTTGTGGTAGTATGGGTGATGCCCGGAGCTTGAAAGACTCGATGCAAGCTCAAATGGACTAAGAAAGAGCAGAAGACTACTATGCCTAAATCCCAAGCTAGTTGGATCGGCAATATGAATCACCACAACCATGTCCCTTCATTTGGACCCGTCTCAATCCAATATTCACGATTTTAGGTTGTCTAAGTTCTAACACCAGAAATTCTCTACAATTTCTATCGGAATGGGAACTTCTTAAGAAGACTAAGAAACCCGACCGAAGTACTGGACGTAAAGAAGCGTACCAACATAACTAAGCCTTGATTCCAACTAATTGGTGCCACCTATGTGAATCTTTTTTATTTAATTTTTTACTCTGTTGTACCCTACATTTTGCTAACTCTGTATGAATCTTTGGTTTACCTCGTGCTCTTTTAATACTTTTAATCACCATGGATAGACACCTACGGACCAATGCATCTCAAGCGACATTCTCTTATTTTATCCTAAGTGTGTTGCTTGCGCTCTCTGCCGAATACTGCATTTCCAATTGTGTCTAATCTTGTAATAGCGCACATCCATAAGATCAAACAATCAAGTGACATTCTCATTTTATTTTTTGTGTGCGCTACTTGCAGTTACTGACGAATACGATCATTTCTAATTCTGCTCATCCATCTAAATATCCGCATTTATGTGAAATTCATCTTCTGGATATATTGGACCTTAAAGGGCCAACATTCACTCTCATATACATTGTCAGTCTTGCAATCGTTCTTTAGAACTTGTCTTTCACTTTTGTAGATATCATCTTGTGGGATAACACTCCAATAGCACTGCTCCATTTCAACCATCCTATTTTGATTATGTGCTACATCTTCATCTATGATAACATTCTCATCGAATGTTGAGCCTAGCTATCTGTATTCTTTGTGTTTAAGCATCCCGTTCCATCTAATCCCACATCACCTTCACTATTCTTATGACAGCTAAACATGCAACGCGTAAATTCTGTCTTCTATTACAATGCAGCATGGGAGCCCATCCTACGTACATAATGGGTAAGCAAGCACCAACTACCAGCCCAATGCATATCCCTGGTGACAATTACAGGAAATCCGTTGTATGTCCAACCACTATTCCTATAATAAACAGCTCCGCCAATGCAGATTCTTCATGGCATCATCAAAGGACTTTTCTTGGCACTGTATCACAAGCTGTCTCCAGGCCAGTGAATACCATATGTAAGTCCTCCATCTCCCAATAAAGTTTCATCAATCTTCTTAAGAATATATAGCCTGCACTAAAGATCTACTAGGCATAACTTAGAGCCCGTTTGGACATAAAAAAAATTTCCAAAAAAATTTCACTTTTTTTCGAAATCGGCGTTTGTTCATAAAATTTCCAATTTTCACTCGAAGATGCATTTTGGAAATTTTCGAAAATTTGAAAAACTCCAAAAAGCTGTTTTTCAAAATTTTCACTCAAATCACTCACAAAACTTCAAAAACAGCCCAATCTGAAATTTATGTCCAAACACAACTCTAAATTTCAAATACCATTTTCACTTGAAAAAACTTTTCACCATTTTTTCGAATTTTACAATTCGTATGTCCAAGCGCCTACTTAAATTGGCTCTCTGGCATTCTTGTAGTGTCCCCACGTTTATGCTGTCATTTAAAAATTTATCATATGGCCCATAATTTTAATGCCATGTTTATTCGCACAACTTTGAATCTCTTTTCTTATATATTGGATCGATGTATTCTTTCTCCACTCGCCAGGCATCCTTCCAATCACAAATATAGCATTAAATAGCTTGATAAGTTATACTATTCCAACACATTTCCAAATCTCTATGGGATAACATCTGCACCACAAGCTTTTTCTTCCCCTCATACTCTTCATGGCATCCTTCATTATTATGTGCAACTAAAGTTTTTTCTATGCATATATATGGAGATATGAAAATTTATCATAGCAATTTGAGTTGAACAATGGAGAAGAGCATAAGAACTTATGGAAAAAGTATTTCACAATGCATACTTAGGGCAACTTGTGATAGAGAGGAATAGTAGAAGTTTTGAGGATAAGTTGTCACCCTTGTCTTTGCTGAAGTTCAAATGTCACAAAACTTGTATTTTTGGTGTAACAAAAAAGCTATTGATGCATTAGATCATGTACTGGGGTTCATGGAATATTTGCATGTCTAGCGGATTGAATTCTATCCATTTTTGTAACAACTAACAAGTACAACACAAAGGCATATTCTGCAGAAGGTATTTGTTGGTACCATGAAACCTTGTCCATCCTGATAAATAGACTGAGTAATTGAATAAACAACCTGTTATAATGAGTTTGGAAGAAAAATGTTCATGGAAAGTGAAACAGCTAGCTGATAGGATATCAAATCAAGTTAGAGTAATATAACACAGTATTAGTTTATATTTGTTCGAATTGTTAGACAAATTTTAATAATTCAAGAAAAGAGGTCAATTTTTTTGTGGAAAAAGGCCGGTTTCATTGGGACAATAAAACTTTTTCCAAGAGACCATCCAAAAGGTTGAAATTAGTTGGTAACAAAATATCCTGCACTCAGTTAATCAGGCATTCAGGCCCATCCTAGATGACTTCCTCAGTGTATTCCCTGCTATTTTTCTTATCTACCAGGACAACCAAAGACCATTTGAATTTTCAGGTAATTACATTCACCTATGAAGATAATCTTTCCACATAAGCTCTGCATAAAGAAACAAGAGAAAGGCTAAAGAAAACAAGTAAATGCTGCAGCACTGAAATCATGAGAAAATATATGAGCAAAGCCAATATCCAACCCAGCAATACAATACTTTTTAGGGAGAAGCACCTCATTGGAAGCCCCTATGCAAATTTATGGAATTGCAGTTCCTTGAATATGGCTTTAATAAACTTCCTAAAGATGTTCACATAGTCAACCAACTTAATATTTCCGGGTCAACCAATAGAAAACGAATTACAGGACAGCATATCAATAGTAAAACAAGAGTAAAAAAAATAAGAATCACAGTACGCCAAATAAGTAACAAACCTCTTGTGTGTCTCTGCTGTTAGTCACTGGCTTGTTCTCATTGTTCTCTAATATAATATGCCTAAAGTTATGATTTGGGACATCCTTTATGATGTGCCACTTCACAGGGAAGCTACCAGACCACTTATCTTGCTGCCAAAAATCCATGTCCTTACAGAAGTTTACAGGGCCAGTCATTTCCGCAACACCACAAAACTGCCCACTAGCATTCACCTTCATTTCATATTTAAAAACAAAACCAATTTAGTGAATTGATTTGAACAATGAAAAGATCTGTGCAATTGAATAATCATAGCTTTGCTTCATGCTTAAAAACTGACCAAACTTGGGAGTAGTAATCACTCACCGAGAAAAAGAGGAATACTG